ACCTCAAAAGCAATCAGTAAATCAAATACGGACAAATAAAGAACTCGATCAGTGATATGTCATTGGACTAATGGAGAAAAGTACCATAATAAGCCCACAATAACAGCTAAGTATAATAAGATAATTTTGATTTCAATGGGCTTTTATAACGTAGTGTATTATTAATAATATTAACTTCTGACACTCAACTTTTATGATGGATATAATTTTGGGCGTTTTTTTCATAACAGGTATGTATGATTAAGTTTGGGGTTACCTATCATAATGGTTAACTGAAGTATCGTTGTTCACAATATCATGTACCAAAATAAACATGTGTTGTATATCTGTATGTTGAATCCGTATTTTCCGGAACTGTATTATTGCCTTATCCATGATTGTTGTAATTATTACATGTATCAGCCTCTTTTTGTGTTTGAATCCAAAGTAAAAAAGGATGTAATTAAAAAAGCAGCTTTAAGCTCTGCGTTTGATTTATATTTTATACTTGTCTTTAGTCCCCTAAACCTAAGTCAGGTATATTACACACGTTAAAAGATGTGTAAACATTAGGTTATTAATGAGTTTTATAAAAATTTGGTTAAAATATTGATATGCAAATTTTTCAGCAAACCAACAGTGTAATGTCCTACTGGTTTTATATATAACACAGGAACAAGCCAATTCTGTTTATATGTATACATCTAGACCAAATCAAGTTCAAGATGATAATGTCAACAAAATCGAAAGAATAAAAAGAAAAGACTACCACTTTCGAATTTAAGACACTATGTATTTTCAAATGGACCCTTTTTTCATTTACATTTACGAAGTCAGTTCGTTATATATGGACCTGTTCAGAGTATATTGACTGATGACGAAGTCCGAGTTTCAATATAATCTAACAGGTCCATATATAACGTATTGACTGAGTGAAAGTCCTTAAATTATACATTACATATGTAAATAGTGTAAGTTAAAAATTGAATTTTACTCGATTCTACTATTTTTTAGTAACATGAGGTCAATATCATTTTTGTTTTCGCCTGTTTTATTATGAGCAATATGATAACTATATTTGGTATGTACGTACATTTGTACCTTGTAAGGCCCTCATGCCTGTCAAACAGTTTTCACATGACATCGACCTCATTTCATGAATCAGTGAACATGGTTAAGTTTTCGTGGTCAAGTCCATATCTCATATACTATAAGCAATAGGTCTACTATATTTTGTGTATGTAATGATTGCAAGGTGTACAATAGGGCCACTATATTTTGTGTATGTAATGATTGCAAGGTGTACAATAGGGCCACTATATTTTGTGTATGTAATGATTGCAAGGTGTACAATAGGGCCACTATATTTTGTGTATGTAATGATTGCAAGGTGTACAATAGGGCCACTATATTTTGTGTATGTAATGATTGCAAGGTGTACAATAGGGCCACTATATTTGGTATATGTCAAAACAAGCAAAAATACAAAATATATATATTTGGAATCACAAATTAACCAATGAGAAACAAGATAAATGAAACCATATGTAATATAAACATTTAATGCAAATAAATTAAGAACCTTGAACAAAATGTTCATAATAGAGAAGAACCAATCAAAACACTGTTCAGAAAGTAGAAAAACCTTTTGACGGGTAATCTTTTTTTTAATTTCCTTTCATTTTTTAACATGACATTTAAATCCTTATATTTACACAGAGACTTATTTTTTAAAGTTGCAGTGACAATGAGCGGACTGGTGTGCTAAAAACTAAGTTATTGATAAGGTAGATTTGGGGAAAATTAGGACCACGAAGAACACTATGAAAATATGATATATGGAAAGAAGTCTATATTCTGCATGTTTATAAATTTTCTTATTTTGATTTCAAAGTTTATCTACAAGTGATTGTTTTTATTTTATTTTTTTTTGGTTATATTTAGCTCTCACTATTGAGATTTCTTATGGATTTCAACAACAAATGAAGCAACAAACAGCGTAAGAATTCCAACATGAAATATTTAGTTGTTTTGCTATATATATATATATATATATTGCAGAGCAACACCTCATGAATAGCCTAACACAAATCATCAACCGAAAATATAAATAGGAAATAATAGAATAGTATTTTTCATATTTTCTTCCATTGCACAATAGATTCCTTTCTAAATATTTGTTAATACAGGATGAAATCATTTTTAACGTTAAACAATATTCACCCTGTAAATTATCTTCGGAATATACGAATTGTACATAAAACTAGATTCCGTTAACACAGTAACTGCGTCTTTTTCAGACATTTAATTTTGCTGTCTTGTTTTATTATGATTATAATATAAATTTGGAACATTTATGATAAGAAGTATATTGTTGAAATCAGAACACACTTTTTGTATTTGTCATCATTATTTGTTTTGTCTTCCACCAAGGGACCGGAAATTACTCTGCGCATGCGTGACTGGACATTTTTAATGCACATGCATAACGACAAGTCACGTACCAGGAGATGGTACACCACCAATCCTTTGCACAATTGCTTACCTCTTTTGTCTTAAGAACCAATAAAGTGATAACCTTTTCCATTCAAAGCACTATCTTAACTTGTTTTGTGCTGAAGAAAATCAACATACCTTTAGTTGCAATTAAGAGCTTACTGGTTCCCGGAAAGTAGGAAGTACCAATACATGGTTTAAGGATGTACTTAGGTGAAATTAAAAAAATCTAGAATTTAAAATTGATATTATAAATCAGAAGAGCATCAGTTAAGGAACAAAATAAGCTAAAAATATTGATAGGTTATGGAGCTCCTTTCCAGATATTTAATTTTTTTTAAATGGCGGGGAAAAGCTGACTCAGACTTTTACCTTATATTTGCATTGGTATTATTATTATTTAGGTCCCAAATCGAAAGAAAAGAAATCTAGAATCTACTTAAATTTTGGTAAATGACCTTTTTTGGGCTATATGAAAAGAAAAATTGGTGTAATGGGGCAACTATTTTATCTTGTATCGTAGGGAAAAAACAAGGAGTCCGAACATCTGACAAAAATTCCTAAACATGACCTAAGTACATCCTTAATATCTGAGAAACAGGCCAAATATGCCCTCCATTTCAAATTTCATGCATTTTTTATTTATTTCAAAATTTTTATTGCTATTGTGTTTGTACAGCTTTCTGATAGGTACTTTCACACCGGGTCTGCATTAGTGGTGTTACACCAGGAGCTGAATTATTGAATCCACCATCTTGGAAATATCTTATAATTAAAAATAAATCTGATAACATTGATTGTATACAGGAATTAATTCTCAATCCTGAATCAAAACAGGATTCAATAAGTTGGGTTCCTTTTAAAAAAAGTCACTTGGACTGATGGAAGGGGATCATTGAAAATATATTTGAATTATAAATATATAATCGTATGATTTATATGTATTTTTTGCATTTGTTTGTTCACGCTTGTAAACCATTGGCTCTTTTGGGAGTAAAGTATTTTTTATTCAATAAAGTTTATAAATTAAGATAATAGAAAAGTGTCATTGAATTATTTGGCGACTGGCATAGTACATGTTTATTATAGTAACATTTTCTATCTATTGTTGCATGATTAAAAAGGTATGCAGACACACGTTTTTAAACATTATCATAAGCTATGCTTCTATCCTCCCCCGCAATTAAATACAAAACCAAATGCTTACGATTAATTACACTAAGCATGCAAGAACCCAAAAGTTCTTAGAAAGGGGATGTCTTATACAGGGTTCATCCCGAAAAGAGGAATTGAAGCATTGTTAATGATATAATTTTTAAAAAAATAAGAGAAGGGGCGAGTTCAACCCCCTCTGAAATTCGCCAATGCTATATCGACACGGGGTACGAAATCAATTGCAAATTTGGATTGAGTGCCCCTTTTTTAGCTCACCTGGCCCAAAGGGCCATGTCAGCTTTTTTCATCACTTGGCGTCCGTCGTCCGTTAACTTTCACAAAAATCTTCTCCTCTGAAAAAACTCAATCAAATTTAACCAAACTTGGTCACAATCATCATTGGGGTATCTAGTTTAAAAAATGTGTCCGCTGACCCCAGCTGTCAACCAAAATGGCCGACATAGCTAAAAATGGAACATAGAGGTAAAATGCAAGTTTTGTCTATTATTTTGAAAACCGTTATAAATAGAGAAAATCTAACAAAAGCAAGTATGTTCAGAATGTTGAGCTCTACCAATTGTCCATACACATCAAAACTGTCAGACGACTTCTTATAGGAGTTATTGCCCTTAAATGACAAGTTTTACCTTTTTTTTTTTTTTTCCTACTATCTAAAAAATTATAATAGATAGATAGAAAATTAAATAAGCAAAAATGATCAGCAAGACAAGATCTACAATTAAAACAATATGGAGGAAATCTTCCAACAACTCCCTATTGGAGTTTTGGCCCATTAATGACGATTATTTCCATTTTTCTTGTCGTTTTACCTTATATGATAAAAAATATAATAGATAAATAGACACTTTAATCACAAAAATGATCAGCAAGGCAAGATCTACTAACAGGTCAAATTTTGCCGATATAGTTAGTAGACTGTCACTCTTTATAGGAGTGATTGCCCTTAAATGAGGATTTTTTTTACCCACTTTTGTGTTTTGAGCAAAAACTAAAGAAGATAGAGAGAAACTAAAGAGACTAAATGATCAACAATACAAGATTAACAAAACAGATATTTATGTTATGAATTCTATTCTCGTCTACAATGTTGGAGAGTGTCCTTTGTTGAATATGCACATAGACCAAGGTGAGCTACACAGGCTGTAGAGCCTCTAGTTGATTTGTATCAGTTGTCATACTAGTAATTGTTTTTTCTTTATTATTTCACTTGCAAAGTCTATAAAAGTAAGTTAAAAAGTACTTGTTGAACAAAATCATATGAGAATATGTTTTCTTGGCAATTTTTAAACGTTATTTGTTATAATTTAAAAGCCATTGGAATTAAACAGTTTATTGTCAGTATTGTTTAGTTTGCAGAAAGAATTATTTGGTTACCAGGATGTTATGACACATCTACAGGCTGGTTATCGTGTATCTTACTACATGATGACACCAGATTGCAATACGTCTTTCAGTCAACAGCAATTTCATGTTCCATTTGGAGATAGCGTTGATTTCTACTTCGAGTTTAGCTATAATGGTATATGGGCAACCCAGTTCACCTCTCAGAAACTCATTTCACAAGGTTTTGGTGGAGGAACTCATTTGTATGGTTAAGTTAATTATCGTCATTCTGTACATGATAAGAAAAGGTAAAAAGAAACCTAAGGGACAATTGAAAACAACAGTCAAAGAAAACATCAAACATACACACACGCAGGGAAAACTAAAAGACAAGTATAAGCTCACTACATCAAAAACTGAAAACTGAGTAACAGGAACATAACAAAAATCCGGAGGGATTTACATTTGAAAATAGACAACTTGTGCTTGCGCTTTTATATAATTTTTATCTTAAGTGATTGCAATATTATATTTAAATCTATATGGAGGATTGTGATGTCGCCTATACACTCAAAACTTGAACATTTTTTCATTGTATATTTTTAAGACTCTTTTCTATAAAGATATTGATTTAGTTAAGAATTGAATGTTTCTTTTTATAATTTTATTGGAGTGTAAAAGCGTTGATCGAAGCACATTTTCTATGAAACGCGGAAGCGCATGATCAATGCTTTTTCACCCCTATAAAATTATAAAAAGAAGTATTTAATTCTTATAACTACATTTTTATGCTACAACCATGAAATTAAGAGCTATATCAATATTTTGCTTGTTTTTCTATGCATTCTTTTAAAATTGTGACGGATAGCACGTGTGGTCATAGATGTTGTATTTTATGATATTGGAGTGCCTCGTGATTGTTGTCAGCCAATCAAAATTACGGATTCTAAAAACACATACCTTAATAATACATACCTGTAATGTAATTTTATTATATTTTTAACACAAAAAATCTTGCATCTCTACATATTCAACTCATTTAAATCAAAATTCAGTATTCTGTATGTTTTGGAATTTACTGGTTCGACTAGTAATAAAAATGTACTAAAAACAGTATGTTACACCCTGTCGATGCGCCCGGTCTCGCTCCATATTGAGTTCATGCGATTCCCTCTGTTTCTGTTTGTTATCTTGGTGTGTTTCTTCCTTAATCGATTTACCAAATTTGCTTCGTCTGCTTCACACGAAAAAAGAACGTAATAAATATACAAATGTATGCTTCCTATCATTTTTCTTATAATCTTTTATTTTTTAGGACAAGAAATAATTCTCCGACAAGCTGTGATTGATAGAAACGATATAGCTCACTGGAATATTTCAGTCACTGAAAGGAACTTTGGTCATGTTTTAGATTCCTGGAACTTCACTTGCTATTTCGGAAATGGCACAGGAAACGAGTATGTATACAATTTTCTTTACAAGTACACTTCTTTTTCTTTTTTTTTCTTATAACACTTTGTATCGCACAATCATTATAAAATCATTCGCATCTGAAAAGATTGCTGTGATTTTTTTACTGAAATTAGAAATGCGTATACAATAGGAGACGTGGAATTATTTAGATCGAGACAATTGTCTACCAAAATCAAAGGCCAAGCTAGAATCAACCACAGGTTAACGTACAACGATCTTAAACGATGAGCAGGACAAATACCGTATAGCAGATCATAAAAGGCAAATAGCCATTCATCAAAATACATGAAACGGCCGACCTGATTAAAACTAATAAAATTACGAAAAATAATTATGACAAACGACAGTTTATTTCAGGATATTTATTTCTAGAGCACTATGTAGATGCTATTCTTATATCGTTTGATCTGTGACATTTTGACCGAGTGTAGATTCACATGGCCGAGTGATGCATGGATATCGGGAGACGCTTATTTAGTCGAAGTACCCAGTTTCGCTTCTTTTGAATGCAGTTCGTTTTTGTTTTACTTGTTTATGTTGATGTGTACCTTGTAAACTAGCCTGCCTCTAAATCTTTAGTGGTAGTAAGTAAAAACAAATTAAAAAAAAAAATGATGTATTACAAAATGACGGGAGATGATTCGCATGATATAATTCTATCAAAGAGTGTTGTATAAATTTACTGATTTTTTATATGAAACAGATAAAAAACAAATACTTTTCGTCAATTTCTCCCTTTATTACAGTTACAAAATAAGGAAATAATTTTGCGTCTCCGATGAGTCTTTTGTAGACGAAATGCGCGTCTGGGGTACAAAATTTTAATCTTGGTATCTATGTTGAGTTTATTTGCACTACCAAAAACCAAGAAATAAATAAGATAATATCAACTAAATTGCGGAAAGCTGTGAATACTTGATTTTTTGATAAAACAATATACCTTCGAGGTAATTAAGACTTTACCCGTTATGGACATAAAGTCCTTGTAATTAAAGACTTAACGACATAATGGTGAACATGATTTATTCACAATATATCCTGTAAAACTTTAAAATTCCAAAGATCTGTTAGAGTACATACAATCTAAGTATCTTGTAATATTATAAAATTAAATTTGACTTGTTTCCAAACTTAAAGGCAAATTGTAAGAATTGGTCATGCTTCGTTCAATAAAAAGAATGATCGACGTAGATACTAATACTAGATGACAAATCATACCCTGTAAAAAAACACCCAGTTCTTACAAAAAATACTCGAAAACTGACATTATCAAGATGCTTGAATTCTTGATTGACAACATATTTGTTACATGGGGGCGGGGGGGGGGGGGTGCGTGTTTGTCAACTAAAAGTTGGCATTCCCATGGCATCCAACTGTGTTCCTCGTCTTGCCGACCTGTTGCTATATTCAAAGAAACTTCATACAATAGCTTCTTAGGAAGAATTAAAAAAACACTACCATCATGATATAACTTCACGTTCCGCTATATAGATGATGTCCTCTCACTAGATAATTCAAAGTTTAGTGTCTAAGTTGAACGCACCTATCCCGTTGAACTCAAAATAAAGAAGATATGAGGCAGACTTAACTGTAATGCTAAGTTTGCCCCATATCTTGACTTACATCTAGAAATTGATAATACTAGTATCACAACTCGTTCACTATGCCCGTGGTTGTAGTGACGATTTCAATGAACGTAATCTATGTATTACTGGTAAATTATTGAGTCAAGGATTTTCTTTCCACAAATTACTTAAAACTTTTACAAAATTCTTCCATAGATACAAAGATTTGTATTGAAAGTTAAGTTATTCCCGTAGATGACTTATTACAAACGAGATAGTGCTAGGACATCCTAAATTTTATGGTGATGTTGTTTTACCAAGCCGTTAAATTTCGATCCTTTAAATAAACTTATTCTAAATGTTTACCAATTTAAAAAAAAAACAATACTGTAATTAGGTCTTTGAACATTGTTTTATCCGTAAAAATATTGTTTTTGTTATCAATAAGTTAAAACCAAACTAAATATCATTGTTGTACACATATGTACATTTACGGTTCTACAATCTGTCGATACCTATATTTTGGCATTCACAAGGTCATTTTTTTTCTCTGAATGTTAATGATGTCTTTATCACTAAATCCATTGATATTTTAGTCATGAATTTTAATTTTTTTATTGGATTTGAATTAACTTTCAGTAACTGAAAGTACTCTCAGATCTGTCTTTTTTTTGTTTGGGGTTTTATGTGCTTTGTATCGATCTGATGAGTTAAGCCCTTTTCAACTGATTTTTATAGTTTGTTCTAATGTCATACTGTTACACCACTGTGTCGTGTTAAGGGGAGAGTTTGGCACCAGCAACCATGTTTAACCACGCCACATTCTGTATGTGACTGTTCCAAGTCAGGATCTTGTAGTTCAGTGGTTGTCGTTTATTGCTGTATATCATATTTGTTTTTAATTTATTGTTTTGTACATAAATCAAACCATTAGTTTTCTTATTTGAATTGTAATACATTTGTCATTTCGGGGCCTTTTATAGCTTATTATGCGGTATGGGTTTTGCTCATTGTTGAAGGACTTACGGTGCCCTATAAATGTTAACTTCTATGTCATTTGGTCTGTGGTGAAGAGTTGTCACATTGGCAATCATACCACATATTCTTATTTTTATAATGAGGGTTGAGAATAAAACTTTACGACAAAAGTGATGATTTCAGCTTCCCAATTGTGAACTTTTCATTTCTATGTAGCAATATTCCAGCAGCATCTGCATATGGAGTATATATCTCACAGTAAATACAATATTCCAGAGCTTGCATTTCCTATTATGATTTCCTTGATTGAGTGTTTTACAAGGAAGCTATTAAACCAAGAATTCCAAGTGGTGAACCTGAGCTCATCCCTTTTAAAATTTTACGGACGCCATCACGAGTTTGTTGACCATTATTAAATAATTGTTTCACAGATGACGACGGATAGGTTCTATTTGTCGTAACTACAATCCCGTCCTCTTTTCTCGATTAAGACTAACAACCGAGTGCATACGTGCATGAGCACATGAGATTTGGTTGGGGATCGTGTTGTTCAGTCTTGAGTTTTCTTTGTTGTGTTTTGTATACTGTCTTTTGGGTCGTTTTCCGTTTTCTTATGAGTTTGAATATCCTTTTGGTATCTTCCGTCTCTATTTTATAGGGCACCCCAATTGAAGTTTTACGCAACTGATGTTAAACCTATCAAAGTAGTGTTTTTGGATGATATTAAGACAGCGCTGATGACCGGAGGCCATTTACGATACAGCACGTCTTTCATTAACTGTCGGGGAGATTTGAAATGGGAAGCTTTAGGAGCGGAAATAACAGGTACTTGTTAAAAAATGAGTTATACATTACAAGGAACACTTATAATGGAACAAACACTCAAAGTAGCCGTTAAACATAATAAAAGGGTGAGACGATGCCGGGTAGGTTTTTCCATGAAATAACCTGTGCCTTGTTTACCCCGCGAATTTAAAGAGGGTTTCCTAAAGTTATCATCAAATTATGTGGCAAAAAGAAGGAAACTACTTTTTTTTGCATAACGGCAATACTGAATATCTTTTTTTGAACAACAAATAAATATTCTTTATTCTTCAGATTACCTGTTACAATTTTACTTCACTGTCCAAGCTCCATTAAAGTATCCCTGTGAAATGCTTTCTGAGTATCTAGGAAAATAAATACTCAGACTATAATGAAGTATAAAAATTTATTGTCTATTATATCAATCTTTTTAAATTTATGAAAATTGTAAAAGGAGATACTGTTTTGTTCTCATTCATACCCCTTGGTAGTTCTTATGTAAACATATCATACACATCTAAGAATTTCAATTTTTGCTCGGAAACATAGTAGGACTTGTAAATACAAAAACCTAAAATGTAAAAAAATAGTTAAAACCATAATACCCCTGATCTCATATTTTGCATCCACATACTATATGTTTTGATAATATCTTGTTTTGAGAATTGATTTTTGCTAGAAGATAATATACTTTCTCCCAAAATTCTTTCAAAAATGAACATGCAATAAAGAAATGCAAGTAATCTTCTTTTTCTGTTTTACAAAAAATACATTTATTATCCTCAGAAACTTTCCATTTTAATAGTAACTGCTTTGTAGGAATAATATACCGGAGCAGTTTCCATCTGAAAAGGGGCCTCGGTGGCCGAGTGGTCTAAGTAGTTACTACTGTTATCACTAGCCAGTCAACACTGAGGTTGTGAGTTCGAACCCCGCTTGTGCGGGTGCACTCGACTCCAATCTTAATTGACTAGGATTGTCAGTTTTCCTATGAAAGGTCGGTAGTTTTCTCCGGGCTTCCTCCACCAATAAAAACTGGCCGCCACGAAATAGCCCAAAAGCGGTGCTCAAAAGTGGCGTTAAAACACCAAAAATCAATCAATCAATCCATCTGAAAAATTTCAACTTGTTTTCTTTTAAAATTTCAAATATAAAATCGTTATTATTTTTGAAATACTAAGGCTTTTCTACCTCAGGAATAGATAACCTTAACTGTATTTGGCAAAACTTTTAGGAATTTTTGGTCCTCACTGCTCTTCAACTTCGTACTTTTTTGGCCTTTTTAACTTGTTTTGATACGAGCGTCACTGATGAGTCTTTTGTAGACGAAACGCGCGTCTGGCGTAAATACAAAATTTCAATCCTGGTATCTATGATGAGTTTATTTACAGATGACTTATGTGGTGTGTATTCCAATTTTAAATATCTTGTCCAAATATTGATACCGATTGGCTTTTTGTATTTTTGATCTACTAAAATATTGAAAAGCATTTTATTGTTAATATCTTTTGCTTCAATTTGTTTATATCGCCATCTCAATTTATCCTTACATATATTGATTTGTCTCTTAACGGGGTTTTCTTTTTTTAAAACTTGCTGCCATTCTTTTGGGATGGAAAATTTTAACATCTTAAACTCTGCAATCCAGTTTGACTTATTAATCAACTTTTCTAAGATAAAACTTTCTGATAATTTTCCCTCACGATCTAATACGTCATTGATATAAACCAATCTACTTGTAACCTAGTTTTACCTCCCCCAATGAAGCTTTCAATGCTGTAAAATAACTGTCAAAATCAGCCATTCTTAACCCTCCCCTTTTTGATTTTTGCCGATAAGTGTGTTTCTTTTTACTTTGTCATTTTTACCTTCCCAAACATATTTCAAATAGCAGCTTACAATTTCTTTAAGGTAATTGTCTGGAACTTTACACGAAGTAGCCAAAAATATAAATTTTGGAAGTATTAAAGATTTTATGATCACTATTTTCCCAACCATTGTTAATTTTTCCCATGTTTTGAATAAGGATTTCATGTTATCTTTTTTAGGTATCCAATTTAGCTTTTCACATTCGTGTCTGTCATGACCAAAATAAATGCCTAAAGATTTAACGGGTTTGTCCGTTCAGCGTATGTCCTCAATTTTATCTATGCTATTTTTAAGCGACCCAACCCAAATTCATTCTGTTTTACTACGATTTAACCTCAAACCCGAGAAAGAACCAAATGTTTCAATTATATTCATAGCTTTTGATATATCTGTTTTTGAACTACAAAAAAGTTTTGTATCATCAGCCAATTGTGATATTTTGACGCTATGTGTTTTATTATCTATAGTAATCCGAATACATTTAATGTCTGAGGTTTGCCTTCATCGTCCGGCCATAATTTCGACTGATAAAACACAAAGTAGAGCAGATAAAGGACAACCCTGACGGATTCCTCCAGAGTTTTCAAAAATTTCGGATATCCATTCATTATTTATATCACATGTCTGTATTTCCTTATATAGTGTTTCCACCCATGATATGAATTATTCATTAAAACCGAAATGCTTTAGAACGCTTAACATGAATTCCCATTTCAAAAAATCAAAATCTTTTGTAAAATCAACAAAAATAATAGCCCCATCTATTCCGTATGACTCTGCATGGTCAATTATATCTTGGAGTTCCTAAATTAAATCCAATAAAACGATTTTTTACATATCCGGTTTGATCTTCATTTATATATTTAATTAGTTTAGAAAGAAGCTTTTTTAGTTTAATTGTTCATCTCTAAGTGTCGTAAAGTGTTATAATTTGCTTTCTAATTTTCTTATTGTCTCCCTTGATAATTTCGATGTTCTGTTCTTTTACAGTAGAGAATAGATTCGTCCCTAATTTCGATTTTTAGATTTTCCCATAATAGACGGATATCGCTACTGTCACTATTGATTAAACGATTTTCGAACTCATCAATTACTCTCTATTGATTGTTCTTTTATATTCAATACCTTTTAAAATAGAATTATTTAATTTCCAGTACCCATTCCCTCTTTCAGAAGCCCCTGTCCGAAAGTTTAATACTATCCCTTTATGGTCAGTCATTTTGACCCATTCCGGTATAATTTTACAATATTCAACGGGAGATTTAAATATCCTTTCCAGCAATCAGAGTAATGCCTATAGAACTTTCCTTTTTAAAATTGTTTACTTTCTTGGAGAAAGAATTTCTATCTGTTCCAAGTTCTGTAATTTGGCGCATAAAGACAAACTAAAGACAATATTACATTGTCCATTTTCACATTTGATAAAATAAGCCTTCCGTCATTATCGCAGAATTCATTAATCACCTCAATATCTGCATATTTGTTGATACCTATTGCTAACCTCTATTTGCTGTAGCTCCATTACTGCATTAAAAAATAAAATCAGTTTCCTTTTCAAGTCTAACCTTTGCTTATTACGTTTAACCCACTCTATCACCCTTATATTCTTTTTCATTATTTTGCATGTTAAGTGTACATAGATTAATATTTGTCATGATACAGGTTGTTCAAACGAAAATTTAATTTCGTTGACTTATCTATACGATCTGTTATAACGTTAAAATACAAATTTTCAAGACAAAAGGTAAAAAAGTGTGACCTTATTTAACCTCGTGTCAACTAACCCGTGAAGTACTGGCGTACCCAGGTACAAACGATTTCTTTCATCACGTAAAATGAGTCGGTTCATCTATCATTTGAGTAAGATTAATTGGCTTAACAAAGATGTAAATTTTGAATTGACAGAGGCCAGTTGGTTTTCGTTAAAATCGACTGTGGCCATTATGTCATTAATAGAATATCACTAGACGCCATATCAAGAGAATATGCAATTTTTTCCCAGATTTCCGATCCGGATCCACTATTTGGAGGTATATAACCATATTGCTTCCAAATTTGCGCTTTCGAGGTCAGTTCGACGTTGAACATGTATATATTTTTTGACATACACAATTATCCTCCCTCCAGCCTTGTGAGGACCTCTGTCACGACGGAAGGGGTTCTGGTAATTTAAGATTTTAATTGATTCGTCTGTATGATTATTGTTTTACCAGTTTACACTAAACTCTAAAATGTCAAAGTCAGAGTATTCAGCTTGTATCAAATCTATTTTAGGGGCTAGGCTTTGTACATTTAAGTGAAGAATTGAGACTGATTTTGAAAAAAGTTCACCGAAATCCGACATGTCAGTTGAGTTAATTGAACTTTGAGAGGAATCGATATCGTCACTTGGACCTGGATTTACCTCTATTCCTGCTAGAATTAGCAAAATTTGTATAACAAATAGTAAAAATGAAATAATAGATAGTGAAAGATTCACATTTACACTGGGTGTTTTTTGTACATATGAGTCTGCGTGCTTCATCTCTGAGGTTTTAGGGCACACGCCTAGTTGATGCGTCAACATGAAGATTAATATTGATAACATCAATGCCTGCGAAACACTTTTACAAACGAGAAATAAGTTGATACAGATAAAATCAATAAAAAAAAAATAAGTTAGTCTGTGTTTGATGTTTTTGCCTGGTGAGTCTAGACAAACTCTCATACGATATAATTCAATTCCTATCCCCATGAGTTATGTTACATCTGGTTGAAATTGGTCAAACTGAGAGCGGCCGTATACAAAGTTGAATAAACCATAGAATTTCATCTGTTTTGTGAAAAGAGTGCAGCTACAAAATATAAAAAAACTTGTGAGAACAAAAATTGAATAACAATATGTAATATGCATGAAAAAAAAAAGAAAAGGGATGGACATGTACATGGATTGAACAAATAGTTTGGAGGAATGAGTATACACATGTATAACTATAATTGATGAATGATAACACTTTCATCTACATATTAATTCAAAACATATGTTAGAGACAACCGTGTCAAATCATCTCTATTTTAGTTATGATTGATTGATTGTTTGATCGCTGAAATTGTCAAGAGCTGACTATACATTTTACAATAAAGTAAGCATGCACGTTAATCAGCAGTGCAAT